CACATTTATTTCTAAATCTATGGTAAAACTAAGGAAAATCGGAGTGTATTTTCTGAATAGAACACCTAAATCATCAATTTCCTTTTGCCTTGTTGGTTGGAATCAGAAACCAACATAGTCAATAAACCTAAAAAATCCTGAAATATCAGTTGAAAAATAAGTGATTAGCTTTGGGTAAAGGGGAAGTCTAACTAAAACTTTGTAAACTTTTTTGTCAACTCTGGGGAAAGGGGAAAGGGACGATGGTGAGGACTTAATCTCAGAAATTTTCTCAAGATTTTCTAGTAAAGAAGACTCTGGCCAGTTAAGATGCTTTGTTAAGGCTAATTCCTGGCTCAAAGTCTTCTCAAAAAGGAGGAGGAAGTAGTTAAGACTAACTATTTTTCACAATGTATCTCCAGTGCCCAGAACACAGCAGACATCACAGAAACCCATTTATTAATTATCTAAGAAAAAGCACAGTCTACATTTAGGAATCATGAGCAGATTGCCACTAAGGAAAAATAAAGGAAACCCAAGACTAAGATTTGAAATTGGGATAGTTTCATTAACAATGAGATTCTATGTATCTTGATGTGACCCCTGCCCACTGAGGCTAAACAGACGAACTAGTGACACGATCACATCCCTGTTTAGGGAGATCGTAATTTAGCACAAGTGGATTTTGGGTGGCCGCCAAGTTCACGTGAATGGCTTCCTTTATAAAAGTAATCATCAGGTTGAGAACTACCTTCAGGACTCATGCAACGATCAAGTTCAGGTCCGCCGTTTACATTGGAAGAAGATCTGCCATGTGCAGACGTCTGCTGTAGAAGAGAGTGCACATTACTTATCAGCATACGCTTACACACCTCTAGCTGGTTAATCCTTAGAGGAGAGAAAGTGCTGTCCGACTGTACAAATATAATGACACAGACACAGAGGAGCGCCCCCTTGCTTCTCCGCTCACCTCTCTCCCACATACAACCCCGTCAATACAGTTCTTCCTTAGACAGTGTTTTCCATTAGTATTAGTAGCAGAACTGACAGAGTGTTACTCTTCCTTGATGCTGTGTTACTTTTGATCTCAATAAAGGAGACCCACGGCACAATCGATGCACAAAGTAGTTACTGGCGGCACAGTAAGGTTAGGACTGTAGGGATTTCCAAGAATGCCAGCACTGAGCCCCCAGATCCAGCAGCCTCCCCTGTGCTGAGCACTGGGGTCCCTGCTGAGGGCGAGCTCCTCCCAGCCCCATGTCCAGGACTGCATCACCTGCACACTCTCCTGTGGATTCAGGATCCAGAGAGCAGCCCTGGCTCAACCAACTTCTCTACCCACCAAGAGAGTGGGAATGACTCTTGAGCATCATAAGGAATTTTTCTTTTTACTAGGAACCAGAGGGAAATAAAAGATAAACTAAGAGGTAGGTTTCAGCTTAACAAAAAGCTGAAGTTCCCAGTCTAACAGAAATACCTCTACTTCTTAGGTGAACTGAAAAACTCACATTATGAACATTGTTCATACATTTATTTTTATTTATTCTATTTTATTTATTATTCTGTAGGCTTATGAAATCTTTTCTTCATTTCCAAGGGCTATTACACTTTCAAACTCAATCTTTTCCCTTTCATCTTTAATTTTCCTTCTTCATTTTTTTTTAAACTATTCCTTTCAGGAGTTTACAAGGTCAAAGGACTTACTGAACACTGAGACGCATCTTTGACATTTCTGTGTGTGAGTGCGACTTCACGCTCACCTCTCTGCCCGAGCTATCCTGGTAGCTTCTGCCTCACAGTGGCTGTGCCTTGCTCATCCCTGCATCCCTGAGTGTAGCATGGAGCCTGGTGCACAAGTTCCTAATTCAGACTTGCTCAATGAAAGCATCAAGGACACAGCCTCTCCAGGGCAGGGACCCACCCTTCCCACAGGGCCCACAAGTTGGAGACACTGAGTCCACTCCCTTCCACTGGGTAAAGCAGAGAACCTCACAGGTGCTGAGTTTGGTACAATCCAGGAGAGCCCAATCCTTAACAAAAATTCCTTCCAACAGGATCATCCAGAAGCTGTTCTGGGGTAAAATATCAGTCTCAAGAACAAAAGGCATGTAAAAATTAGGGCGTTTTCTCAGATCCCATGTAACCACACCTGTGTGGACAGTAAAAGCAGCAGCAACATGTCCTGTTAGGAAACCCGGGGCTGTGGAAAAGCAGCACTGAGACCCACCTATAAGCCGCTGTCCTGAGTGGCAAACACACCTCTTGTAAGTGTCTGTCTCCTGCACTCTGACGCGTGTGTAGTTGTGCAGGAATGTGGGTGTGCGTGTGCACCCCTTTCTAGCCACGCTTAGCCTGATGAAAACGCCGGTGCTCAGCCGGCCCCTCAGGGTTCGATCAGTTTCCTCATGCTACAAAGTGGCCAATCAAAGGTTTTCAAAATTTAGCTTTTTTGCTGGTTTTGTTCTCTCTCATTTTTTGCCACTGAAATTGAAGGCAACTTCGAAACAAGCAGGAATTTATGCTAGAATGTTTTTAAAAGCAAGGCTTTCAAAACTGCGGCCCAGAGAGGGGACATGAAGGGAAGGTGAAAAGAAAACCACGACATTCTCTGCTCCGTTCGTCTGGGTCCTCCTCAGTGTGCACCCCCACCCGAGGCTCCTTAGTTACCTATAGTCTCTCCCATTCTATGATTATTGCCAGAGAAACATTTCCAAACGACAAGTTCCGGCATCACCCCTAGGATCCCAAAACCTCACTGCATCTTGGTTACTGGCAGAATAACCCCACGGCCTCCAGCAGGGCAGCCAGGCCATGGTCTATCCTCCTACTCACCTGCCCAATTTGTTTGTCACCATTTTTTTTCACCTATTTTATACTTAAACTAACTCCAATAATCTTTTTTTTTTTAACGTTGCTAAAACTTTCCAAGTCTTAATTTTCTGCTCTGAATAGAGGGACAGTAGCAGCACCTAGCTCAAAGATTTCTAGAGAATTAAAATTAGCTCATGCATGTACAATCATTCAGCACAGTCACTGACACGTAACACTAACACAATATTAATTATTCCTATCTTTCCTTAAAACATCTAGCATAGGGCCTTGAAAGAAGCAGCTGAGAAATGCTTTTGAATTTCTGAATGCACAATGGCTTTACGACATCTTTTGCTCAATAATTCATCCCAAGTCTGTTCCTCTTCTAATCCCACCCTTCCTAGATTGAAAACTGTCACCCAAGGGAGTAAAAGATCCAAAGTACATGCATATCAACCAAATTCTTAATGGAATAAAGAAGAATGTATTTTGGGGGGAAATTATATTTGAAAAGATGAATGGAAAAATCATAGCTTACAGGGATGGGAGGGGATGGGAGAGGGGGTGGTCAATGCCTGGGAGCAACAGTGGCCGGTGAACAGCTTACCTACATGTCTAAATCCACAGCCCAGCACAGGGCAGCCCCCCACCCTGGGACACTGCTGGCTGGGTTCCGCCTGGGCAGTGGGCGGGAACCATCTTCCTTCCTGCCACTCAGAGCCCAGGAAGTGTGCGGTGTGCACACCCCACAGCCACTGCTGAGGTCCGGGGACCTGCCTTTGTCCCCACCGCCAACACCCACGTGCTTGCTCTGCTCTCCTGGAAGCAGGTAACATTTCTCTAACAGGTCTCTTTCTTGAGCTAACTAGGGTAAGTCAGTTAGCTGATGTGTTCTGACTCGAGGGCTCTCTAAGAAGGAAGCCTTGTAAGGGCCAAGTGCAGGCATTTTTACCTCCTTGTCCATTTTCACACAGATGGGTGACTCCTCTGAGTGTTTGAGTTCCTGTCAACCACTGTAACTCTCCTGGTGTTTCTTTTGATTAAACCCCCCACTCCCACCTATCCTCGAGTCCCTGTACAGTCCAGCAATTACAAATCTGGTTTGTTTTGGGATTCAGAGTTGGCGAGGAGCCAGGAAAGAGAGCAGGAGACAGAGCAGGTGGTGGGGGCTGGCTCTCTAATGACTGAAAGAGAACGGCGAATGGATTAGAGCCTTGGCCTCAGAGGCGGCCTTGTGGAGAGGGTGCAGGCGCAGGCCCGAGTCAAAGGCTACTTTCACTTGTACCTGATGAAGGCATCGCTAAATCATCAAGAAACGCAGCTTTCTTAGCAAATAATAACGGCCAAGAAGAGCGTTTTTCTATACTCTCAAATGGAATGATTTAAGCTTTAAACCCCAAGCATTTAAGAACATATATATACACACAGAGTAAAGGAGTGACATATCTGGTGACCTATCCAAATATGTTTCTTTATTTTAAAAAAAGCTTTCACGAAGAAAATGAAAACATGAAAAGATCAGGGAATCACAATAAACACAGCTCAAGAGACGGGACGTGATTAGACACAGGGACAGTTTTCTTTTCCTCTCTTAGCAATAATCTGTGCTGGATTTTTAAAGGATACAAAGATCCACTGCTGCCTGGAAGTTTACAGTCTTATGAAGCGGCATGTGTGTACTCTTAAAACCCTTCCAAGAAACCTAGGCATCTCACGATACGGTTTCCAAGGTTCTGGTGGTTACAAATGACCAAGAAGCTGGTGAGAGGGACCACTTTGCTAAGGCACAGACATGCGCTTGGCTCAGTGAATCACACATCTAGCGATTAAGTTCACGTGACCTCCTGGCAATGAAGCCTGGTGCTCCGAGGATCCACGGAAAGCTGGGCATTCACCAAGAGCTCTGCACAGATCCCTGGCGAACATTAAAATTGTCAAATATAAAGCAAAGTACCCTGGGTGCCCCAAGAGACATGCAGAAAAAGAACAAGGGAAACACGCGGCGGAAGCTACGACTGCAAAATCCTCACCATTCACCAGGTAGAATTTATGGATTGCCCTGCTCCCTGTAAGAGAATTAGTGTCTTATTGAAGCGAGGAGAGGTTAAAATATGGCATCCCTGATGAAACCCGTGCCACTTTCGTTGTCAAACTAAAGTTTTGTATTAAAATCTCTTAAAATGCCAACGAGTGTTTGTGCTTCTGTCAGCAGCCAGGATGCTGAGACAGCACGGAGACAGGGCCCGATGCCACATGTTAGCCAGACGCTCCTCAGTGAAGTGCACACGGATGGCAGCACCTGGGCTCCTTCAAGACATCTTCCATAATTGCTAACTGGTTCCAAAAGGCGCAATTATGTTTAGGAGTAGGGAGAGGAGGGGACATATTTCCTGATGAGGTCCTGATGGGTGATGGAAAAGACTGAAGATTCTGCCAAGCACATTCTGTGCCTGCACCGCCGCCTCACCCACCTGCTCTCTGGCAGCAGCAGTTTCACTTTAACGAGTAAGCAAGGAAGGAAAATGCACAGGAATCTGCTTCTAAGAACTTTTTTAAAAAGACTTGAAAATACAGCAGAAAAAGCTATAAAGTGCCCTCAACTGCTAGCATCATTGAAGAGGGCATTCGTGGCTGACTGAGCACATCTGATCATCAGTAACATGCCAGATTTCCTTTTTTTTTAGCAAGGAAATAAAGTCAGAGTGTCCTACATTAAATTTCTTTGATAAGTGGATTGTTAACTATTTCTACAGAACTTGAAATTTAAAGAGAAGTGTTAAGTGTGGTACTAAAAATACAAAGTTTTATTCAGAAATAGGCAATTCTCAAAAAAAAAATAGCAAAACTGGTTCCATCAATGCATTATCTCATGTTACTCTTGAGTATAATGCTGGACATACTTCATTCTGGTTTTTCATAAAAGGAAGCACTTGAACAGAATCCAGTAGATATACTTGTGGGGTGAGTTGACTTTCTCAAAGCATCTTGGAAAAACAGCACTCCATTTTTAAGTGGC